CGAGTCGGTGACTCAGGCGGTATGTGGGCGTAGAACTACGCGTTTTCAATAAATGGAGTACTCGGACATCCGCTTTGAAATGTCCATGAAACATGGAATCATTATCGTGGCACGAGCATTCACATCGACCACAAAGGAATCGCATGGATGTGGTAGCCAAGGTTAGAATGAATGACGAGAACGGGAGCACCAGAAGAGGAGATATGGAGAGCACAGGCACATCGTTTTCCGCAGTCATTATAAATCTAGCCTCTACCGAGGTGTTGGCTGGGGTGTGCACCCACTGGCCCATGGTCGAGGGAGAATTGCGCAAAACTTTATTCGATTCAGTCAGCAGAGACCGAGGCTTTCCTGATTGAATGGACCCATCCCTGAGGAAGAGAAAATTCTCCGTCCAATAAGATCATGTGCTTACCACCGAAAGAGGGAGTTCATAGCTGTATCGATAGACATAGCGTTTCCACAACGCTCGATTACGTCTGAACAACGTAAACTAGGGGTTTCTTGCCTTCAGTGTTTTCAGCCTCCGCGTCCTCGTTCCGACGTTCTATGAAAACGAGCTTACTATTTGGCCTGTATCTTATTGAATGATCAAGATAAGGGGGAATTGAGGAGCATGAACGATGCCTCATCCTAAGCCTGACATATTCCACCATGACCATTTCGATGATCGAGCGCTCTGTTTCTGGAATATCAGCTCGAGGAAATTGTTACACATTCCACTCAGACGCATCTTATTTCCGAGATGGGAATTTTTTCGAGCTTCGCCTCCCCAATACTCCCCATGGCAGTGTTTACCCATCACTGGGGGCTATAGCGTAGTTCTACGCTAAAACAGGAGGGACCCCGAGAGTTTTCGGGCCAGACGACTCACCCTCGGAACAGCTTAATCTTCCGCTGAACACCTCGATTGAGATATTGTATGCATCTTTCCCCAATGCTCCCAATATCTAGTTCCAGCTCCGAATCATCGAGACGGGATTACATTCGGGGGAAATCGCAGTTGACTTCGGTCTTCTCGACGCGAGCAGAACTTTCATACCCTCCTGATTCCGCTCCAAGAGGCTTCTGGAATCAGAGGGCTCCAGATGTCTCACCCCTCTATGCGCTACTCACGACTGGAACGAGTGC